CATAGTCTGTCCAGATCCTTTTGGATCTGGAGTACCTGCTCCTCAGTTGTGACCACTGCTCCAGTTTTAGTGTCGTCTGCGAATTTGATCAGCAGACTGTTCACCCCTTCTTCCATGTTGTTAATAATAAACACAAAGCAAAAGTTTTTGCTGCATAAGACCTACCCTAAGACCTACAGACCCATGTGGCAGAGATGGAAAAATAACATGTGACTGATTAAGACGACCATCTAATTCCCTCTTGCATTCATTTCCAAGATTCTATGTATCATATTTATTCACTGATAATACTTATAAACATGAACTGTGCATTAATAAAACTGCTCAGCCTCAGTCAATGCTTCCAATACCAGAGGAACTTTGCAGCTGTAAAGGCAGCAGGGACAAGCCAAGATTCTAACAGAACTGCAAGTACTGCACATCTCAGTGTAATGGCAGCGCTCGCTCCAGAGCCCATAGAAACTGGCAGTAGCAGTCCTGCGCCACCATTTTCAGAGCTGACCCTCTGAGAAATCTAGCACCTTAAAGCATCCCATTCTGGACACAGTATGAGGTGAGATGTGCTACATTCCTGCACGGGCCACTGGCCTGGCCCTGCTCATCTCTTCTCCTGTTGCAAGAGCATCCCCCATGCATAGGTACACTTACCACCAGTTTCGAGGTCTCTTAAGGGCCAGAGAACAGTATAAGCAATTTGTTGTGGCATGTAAAACAAAGGTGCTGTTGCAAAAGTGGGTTCATCTGAATGCTGGATTCGGGATCCAAATTCATCCATAATATACCAGACAGGGACCTTCTCCTCAGCAGTCTAAACAAGAACATACCCAGTCATGTATCATAAGATACTCTTACAATAGGCAGGGAGGAAATATTCTCCGTCAATGTACCATAAAGCACAAAGGTACCAGAAAAAGAGCCCTTCTCAAAGGACCATCCTGAACAGTCAGGAGTTCTTGCATATCATGTTTAACCCCCTGACTTCTCTCATCTTTTTCTCAATAAGTGCTTTGGTTTCCGTTGATTTTGAGCCACCCCCATCCCAAACATTCAGAACAGGTAGCACTAATTTTTTTTGCTGAGAGAATAACACACTGCTCCAGCATTCAAGTCATAATCCTTTGCATCTGGGACTCTGGCAAGAGGGGTGTTACCAAGGGACTCCTATTCATGCCAGTTTAGCTGGAGCTGTACTCCCTCTGAAGGCTTACAACCTTTGGTTACTCTTGATCAATCTCTGTCCCTGGAGGCACAAGTCCCTCTTCTCAGCATAGGGTGGTGCTGGACCTGCAAAGCCACTGGTACAAAGGCAGAAGTCTGGCCTGTATTACACTGTATTGAAAGCTCCCTTTGAAAACTGCTCAGAAGCTGTAGCTAGTAGAGAATGTGGCGCTAGTTTACACACTGAGATGGGGGATTAGGATCATATTTCTTCTGGGCTATGTCAATTTCATTGGCTCTTAGTTTGTTTTGAAGCCCAATTCCAAATCCTGGCTTTGACCTTTCTAGCACTTTGCAGCCCAGGACTTCATGAAAGACCTCCTGTTCTCCTAGGTACCTCCCCTTAAATTCAGATCCTCAATGAAGGCTCTTCAGCAATGGCAGGGGCTTCCTGGTTGTGCTGCCCCATTTCTAGAATGCTTTCCCACAGAAATTTGTCTGGTACTTTCTTTATCAACAGTTTGGTAACAGTCTAAAAAGCCTTTTGATTTTTCCAAGCCTTTTGAGCTTAATGTTTAATCCTGCAGATTATTTTCTGCTACTTGTAGAATTTTGTGTTTGATTCTTCTTGTGGACAAGGGAACAAGAGTGTAAATCAAGTGACTAAAGACTGACATGACAATGCAACAGACAAAAAGGTTAGCAGATTGTTGGAGCATGCTTTTCCCTACCCATCAATTTTTCTCTGCCTGTTAAATTGCAAAAATATGTGCAGAACCAGCCTTTAACTTCATTTAATTATAAGCATTTCATTTTGAATGGGCATCAGAAATATTGCTACTGTACAGAAAGTCCCACAAAGCAGCATTTCCCACATTCCTCTGCATCAAGATCCAGTTTGTTGCAACTGAATTCAGCCTTTAAACAATATAATTCTAAGGAATACATGTGCATTATCTAGAATATTTGTTCCATAATACTGTTCTTCTCCCAAGCATTATTAACTAATAGCCACTTGCTTTCTGTCCCCTTGCTTATCTTCAGTATAGTCCTGAGGTGACTAAGCAACAGAAAATAAAGTGAATGGAGCTAAAAACATGAAGATGAAATCTACTTGCTAGGGAAACCTGTTCCTGTGATATTTGTGGTCTTAATCTAGCTCTGTACCAGCGGTAACCAACTTGCAGGCCCAAGCTTCTGGGAAGCACAGCTCCCACTCCCTAGGTGGATGATCAAAGCTGTAGGCCAAAACATTTGGAGAGCCACAAGTCACACACAGACAAGTTCAGCGTTCCTATTATGGACATACCCCACATGACAGCTGATAGGTCTGGTTGTATTTCCACATTTCCTCCAACACTTGACTGACAGTATGATCATCTGGCACTTCGCCATGGAAGTCTATTTCCATCAAGTTAGCCATTCTCTGAAGAAGACCAGGGACCTGCAGTAGTTGCTGACGGGCGTGTCCAACATGGTATGTCCAGGCATGGTCAATAAGAAATATGCTTTGGAGACAAGGCACACCACAAAAGAACAGAATGCTGCACAGACACTTTAAAAAATCAGAAAGCAATCTAGAAGCCATTACTTTGGCTTCATTACCAAGGAGTTCTAACAGGGATAATATTCCAATTCAGCGTTCTTGCAATGCAATGAAAACTGCAAATGCAACGTCTGCCTGGCTTGTACCTTGGACTCTTCTCTTTATTACAGGATTGAGACCATCACCAAATCCTGTTGCTTCTGCAACTGTAATAGGGGTGGCAATGTTGGGAATTCTAAGAGTCATTTTGCCCTCAACCCAGACACTCTGGGGAAGCCACACTCTGCCCTTCTGTGTCCCAAAAGTAGGAATAAATAATGAAAACTGTGTCCATAGCTTTCTGGCAGAGTGAACTGTTATGAGGGCTCCACAGCAGCTTCCGAAAGCTCCCTACCAAAAATGAACTGGGTATTTTTTAAAAAAAAAACTGGGGCTTCATTAATTTTGGGAGGGTGGCAGAGGCTACACTAGGGGACTGTCTCAGCCTATGAGGCCCACCTGTTTCCCAGTCTTGCTGTAGGAGGCTGCAAAAATTCAGTCCTTTTTATCCATTCCCTTAGGGGAAAAAACCTTATTCATGCCCTGCTCATGTCTCACCAGCACTTAGTTTTAAAAGGACTTCAGAAATATTGTATTACTATATCTTCTCTGCTCTGGAAATCCATTACCTCTCCTGCGTCTCCTCAACTCTATTCTGCTACTGAAGTCATGACTTCTCTTCCATCACTGACCATGCTGTATGCCTCCTTGTTAGCTGTCTACTGCCGGATGTTAACAAGCTTCTTGTTGTTACCTTCAAAATCCAACACAGTCCGTTTATTTGGCCACCCTTTCATGTCAACACATGACATGAAATGTGCCTCTGCCTTCTGCTTATCCAGCACCACCTCTAGCAGCCATCAAAAAGCCCTCGTTTCAAGAGACTTGGTCCTTCCTCCCTTTCTCTCCTCTACATTGGCAATCTCCCCCAGAACTCCTCTGTGACACGGGCCCTCTTATTTCCTCAAGAGTAACTCCATATGGTAATTAAATCTTCAGTATGCATAACCAAAAAGACAGTATCCCATTTATCACTCCCTCAATTACCCCTTTTCCCTCCAGTTATTTCTCTTGTGTTGATCCACAGACTGTAAGCTCCTTGGGAGCTTCTCTTCAGGTATTTTGTAAAACGTATGTTCATAAAGGCACTATATGCATGTCACAAAACCTCCAACAATAACTCATCCATCAAAATACTGACTCTCTTGCCTGGCCTTGCCTCAAGACAAGATGCTCACCTGTCAGGCTGTGCTGCCTGCAGCCCATTTTCATTTGTCACTATCACTTTGTAACAAAGTCGTCTCCCAGGGTTTGATTTCTTCTTTGATTCTTCTTCTATCTCTTCATCCTCCTCATCTTCTTCTTCCACCTCCTCCACTTGCATTATTCCAAAGTACTCACCAGCATCAAACACCTGAAATCAGAAGCAAAGATGTCTTCAAGTAAAGAGACAAGCATCACAAAACGGCCCCAAAGCACAGAAATTAGAGAAATTAAAACCTCTTGAAGGGCACAGCAAATATACTGTAAGATGTAATTTTACTGGAATCATGTATGGCAAATTCCTTCATTCAGAGTGCAATCCTGTGCATGTTTAGGCCAAAAAAAGGGCAACTCCCATATTAGAAGGCTGCCTTGTAGACCAGGTGCTCCAGCTCCTTAATCATTTTGGTTGTCCATTTGGGCAGAATGGGATCAGTGGGAGACCATATGCTTTGCATGCAGATAGGAAAAAGAAAGAATCCTGCCTGAAACCTGATGAGCCAGTCAGTGTTGGCTATACTGGACTAGGCAGACCAATGAGCTGAGGGAGAATAAGGCTGCTCTTTTCTAGCTCCACAATAGCTTTTCTGAGGTGTGGCAAGCAAACCTATACATAGCATTCCATGTGCAATTGCACAATAACTTTGTATAAAGGTATTATGATATTTGCCACCTAATTTTTGTTCCCTTTCCTAATAATCTGCAACATGGAATTTGGCTTTTTCACAAGAGTCACACACCAGACGGATGCTTTCACTGAGATGCCCTCACAGCCCTAAAGTGCCTTTCCTGGTCATTCAGTGCCAACTGAGATCCTGTCAGCTAAGATGTGAACTTGGGACTTTTTGCTTAATGTGCGCCACTTTAAATTTGCTTATAATGAACTTCATTTGCCAATTTGATGACATTCTGGAGAGATCCCTTTGAAGCTCTTTTGAATCCCTTTTACTACCCTAAATAATATTGAATAGTTAGCAAACTGGCCACCTCAATGTTCAGTCCTAAGGCCAGACATCTTCATATGTACTGTGCTATGGAAGCCACTCCTGCTTTTGTTCCTTCCCTAATGCATCGGAAACACATAGGTTGGGCTTATTGCTCAAGACTGTAACATAAAACTTGTGCTTCTGAACCTTGTTTGATGGTTCTTACTTAATCCTCTTCCAACTTGTAAATGCGCTTTGGCACCAGCTGAGAAAATGCCCAGCCTCTCCTAATTCAGATGCCGCAGTGAAACAGCCCAATAACACCTGGCTCCAAATCTCCTAATCTGACACTTCCAACAGCTTCATAAAGATATCAAGTAACATTGGGTACAAAAGTGTGTCCTGTGGCCCCTTGTAGTTCTACCGCCAGGAGGTCCAGGCCCAGTCATGCACTGTTAGTCATAAAAACTGACCCCACAAGTAAGAGCTCAACTACTGTAAAACAGTGCCTCCAACTCATAGAGGTAGTCCAGAAGTCTACCATGTCAATGGTATCAAAATGGGTCATACCCTTTTTGCCTCTCTTAATGAAGGTTATTAATCAGGTCAACCAAGGTCATTTCCCCCCCTAAACCAGACTGGAATTGATCCAGAGAACAAGTTTAATTCAAGAGTACCATGCTACCATTCTCCTGAGTATCCTTCCCAGGAAGGTGGATGTTTGTGACTGGGCAATAGCTGGTCCAAAACTCTGGGCCAAGGAAGGTTTTTTAGAAATGCACAATTGCCTCATTCAAGCAGAAAGGGAGCACGGAGTATATTATTACATAATGATGCACTCACCACCCTCCTGATCTGTCTAGTCCAAAGGACCCATGAAGAGCAAGGGCTGAGATAGTGTCTGGGCATACAAACATAAGCATCAATAAACTAAGGCTTAATCCTGGTAAGACGGAGGTACTACTGGTAGGGGGGACCTCTGATAGGTTAGAAGGGCATTGCCCTGTCCTGGATGGGGTCACACTTCCCATAAAGGTCAGGATCCAAAGTGTGGGGGTGCTCCTGGACCCCAGTCTATCCCTGGACTATCAAATGGACTCAGTGTCTAGGAGTGCCTTTTTCCAGCTGCGGCAAACTTTCCAACTCCGCCCTTTCCTAGAGAGTGGAAACCTGAAGATACAGTGTATCACAGAAGTGAGTATACCCTTCACATTTTGTAAATATTTTATTATATCTTTTCATGTGACAACCCTGAAGAAATGACACTTTGCTACAATGTAAAGTAGTGAGTATACAGCTTGTATAACAGTGTAAATTTGTTGTCCCCTCAAAATAACTCAACACACAGCCATCAATGTCTAAACCACTGGCAACAAAAGTGAGTACACCCCTAAGTGAAACTGTCCAAATTGGGCCCAAAGTGTCAATATTTTGTGTGGCCCCCATTATTTTCCAGCGCTGCCTTAACCCTCTTGGGCATGGAATTCACCAGAGCTTCACAGGTTGCCACTGGAGTCCTCTTCCACTCTTCCATGATGACATCACAGAGCTGGTGGGTGTTAGAGACCTTGCACTCCTCCACCTTCCGTTTCAGGATGCTCCACAGATGCTCGATAGGGTTTAGGTCTGGAGACATGCTTGGCCAGTCCATCACCTTTACCCTCAGCTTCTTTAGCAAGGCAGCGGTCGTCTTGGAGGTGTGTTTGGGGTCGTTAACATGTTGGAATACTGCCCTGCGGCCCAGTCTCCGAAGGGAGGGGATCATGCTCTGCTTCAGTATGTCACAGTACATGTTGGCATTCATGGTTCCCTCA